CCTTACTATGTGAAATGAATTTTTACTTTATTATTTATTCACATTAATAGCAGATGGATTAGGAGAATTTTTATTGGATGATCAACTTTTATCTGTATTTTGTTCTAGTGTGTGCATCAGGGTCCACTATCGTTTTCAGCCTCTCTGGTAATAAGCAAAAGATGTGCATCTGTGTGTGTTCGCACCTTTTTTTTTCCGTTTATTTATTATGTATACATGACATCTGTATTATTGTCTGGAAATTTGTTCTCTCGAACTTGACATTTATCAGCTGTAACATATTATTCTTTGCCTCCATTAATTTCAAGTAGATTAAATCAAGAATCTGGACTAAAGTGGTAATTTCATTCCAAAGTCATGTAATCATTTTGATGCAGGTACCTTGCTATAATTTGGCCCGATATTCCATACTTTTCCATCTACAAAGTAAGTGACTGGTCCATTGTTGACTCAGGAAGCGCGAGGCTTTTGGCCTGGGATACATGTCGTGACAGGTTTGCATTACTGGAATCTGCTATACCTCCTAGATTTCCTACAATTCCTAAGGGGGGATCATCAAAAAAAGCAAAGGAAGCTGCAGCTGCTGCAGCTTGTGCTGCAGCAGCTGCTGCTTCAGCTGCTTCCTCGGCCAGTGTTCAAGTTCGTATCGTGCTTGATGATGGAACATCGAACATATTGATGAGGTCTATAGGTAGCCGCAATGAACCGGTATTTGGCTTATTGTCCTAACCCTTTAATTCTTTTTTTATTATACTTTATTTTTAGGACGGCAAAATATACTTTCGAAGTTCAATGATGGCAAATGCATCTTCTATAAATTAATAATGATTATTTTCACTCACATGGTTTATATCACGGTAGCTCAAATGATATCACCTTGCTCTCCTTTTTACCAAACACACTATTATGATGTAATATAATTTCAAACACACCCTTTGCGATTTGATGCTAAGTTAACAAGTGGATATTTTTCAGTAGATTATAAAAAACATGGGAGTAAGTAATGCCATACACCTAGGTTGGTGTGTGTGTTTTTTTTGTAGCTTTTTGGAATATTTGGTTATACGAGAAGAGAAAGAAGGCTTCTTCTGAAGCTGGGGGTGTTTCAGTTTTACAATGGAAATTGTCTCTTCTAATGTAAGGGGGCTTGGTTGGAGGGACAAGTGGATTAGTGAAGGAGTTGCTTGACAGGAGGAATCCCGACAATCGACATCGCTATTCTTGTGGAAACAAAACGGGCTTTCTATTGTTGTGAGTTTGTTTAAAGTCTCTAGAGAGGGGATAATTTGGAGTGGGTTGGTGTGATCGTTGGGGGGCATTCTAGTGATGTGGGACATTAGGTGCGTTTCCGGTTTGTGGAGGTGGTTTGAGAGGTTTTTTCTTTGTTGGTTTCTTTTATCTTTTCGGGTGATGTGAGGGTCTGGGTTGTGTGGTTTTTGCTGGTGCATGGCTGGGGATTTCAATGTGACCATATTTCCTTTTGAAAGATCAAGTGGAGGGCTGGGGATTTCAATGTGACCATATTTCCTTTTGAAAGATCAAGTGGAGGGAGGGCAACCAGATCTATGAGGAGTTTTAATAGACTCATCGAAAATTTTCGTCTTTTGTAGCCTCCCCTTGCTATCGGTACTTTCACTCGGTCCCATCAAAGGGTGTGTAGCAAAATAGATAGATTCTTGTTGTTTAAGGGTAGATGGATTCATTCTTAAATCTTAATCATTCTTGGGCCCTAGGGTTAATTTGGATTGCTGGCCAATTTGTCTGGATTTTGCTCCCCTTAAGTGGGTCCCAATCCCTTTAGGTTAGAGAAACTGTGGCTTTTCCACCCCTCTTTGAAAACTTTCCTTCATTCTTGGTGGAACGTTGCTGTTCCTGGTAGGTGGAAAGGTTGCCATTTTATGTGAAAATTGTGCTCTTTGGGGGCTCTTAAGAAATGGAATCACAATGTTTTTGATGATTTGACAGTCAAGAAATGAGATTTTGGGGAGAATTAAGAGGTTGGATGATTTGAATTTTTAGGTTATTTGAACATGTTAACTTGTTGAGCGAGTTTGAAGAGCGGGTGAGAAAGGGAGGGATGAGTCGGAGACAAAAGACCAAGGTTAAATGGACTAAAGAGGGGGTGGGGGACTATAATATACCACCTTTTTTCACGGAGTTGCGAGTGGGAGGAGAGAAAATGTCAAAGGTGAGCCTCCGAGTGAGGATAAGGAGATAGAGGATGACGTTATTTTCTTTTCTTTGTCTCTTTGTGCTCCGGAGGTCTCCCTTAAACCTGTTACGGATGGGCTTGATTGGTGTCTTATTTTTAAAAGCAATAGGTTAGATTTGGATGTTCCTCTCCCCTGTGAGGAAATCAAGAAGGTGGTGTTCGGGTTTGATAGGAATAAAGCCCCTAGTCCTGGTTTTTTTTCAGGTCTCCTTTCAGGATAATTAGGACTATCTAATATCTATCAAAGGGGATCTCCTTATCACTTCTATTTGGAAGTTCAAAATATCAAAGAAAGTCAAGGTTTTTCTCTAGCCTTGGCCTTTAGAAGCTTAAATACTCATGATCTCCTCCAAAAGAAGGGTAGAACTGGGCTCGTATGTAGTGTGCCTAAATTACAATCAATCCGTGGACGCGGTGGACCACCTTTTTTGTGCATTGCCCCTTTGCAGCTCGAAGTTGGTTCTTTCTGCTTGATCTCTTTGGCATCTCAGTGTGCTTTCCTAAGCAAATTAATAGCTGGCTTCCTGAGATCCTCACAGGTTGGTTCTTACCTAGATAAGCTACTTTATCCAAAAAATTACCTAGAAAAGCTAGGTGTATTTGGAATTGTGCTGCGAGGGCTCTTTTGTGGCATTTAAGATAAGGCCTGTACTTTTGGAAATTTTTTTAGAAGTGTACATGACACTGTTTCCTGGTGGTGTCTCAACTTTTCTTTTTCTTTTTTCTTTTTTAAACAAGAAACAAACTTCTCATTGAAATAACGAAAAAGAACATAAATGTTTAATGATACAAACTCTTAGAAGAGTGAAAGATAGACAGAATATAATCAAACAGAACAAAACTAAAAATTATGGGTATCAGGTTTTTGGTTGGTTCCGCTTCACAGCAGTTTTGATGGTTGAGCTTCTTTCGCTTTTGTGTCTTCTCTTGGTGGAGGGAGGTTTTAGTTTCTTCTCTTCTGGCGATTAGCTTGTGTTAAGTGATGGTTTTGGATTCCTCCTCGGCAGTCTGTCCTTTGTTTTGGCGAGCTTTCTTGTAATCAGTGTTCAACTTCTGTTCTTGGGCTTCGGTTCTCATATTTTTATGGGTTTTTGTTTTCTATGTGCTGTTTGTTTTTTTTCTTTTTCCTTTTTCGCTTCCTTTGGAAGATTGTATCCTTGAACTTTTTTCTTCCTTTTCATATTATCAATGAAAAGTTTGTTTCTTGTTAAAAAAAAAAACTAAAATTATAGCAAAAAGCAACCCAATTAGAAAAAATAAGAGAAGAAAAATAGTTCCAAAAAGAGATGACTTAGAAAACCACTGTGAGGTTTTAAATTTATCTAAGCTAAACTGATCAGACGAAGATTTATTTGGTGGTGTCTCAACTATAGAAAATTCTTTTGTAATTACAACCTCTCCATGTTTTGGAACAACTAGAAAGCTTTTGTATAGGCCTTTTGGTTGGGGTTCCCTCTTCCCAAGCCGTTAGTTTGTCTTTTTTCTCTTCCCTTGCTTTATATACAAGTTTCTTATCCAAAAAACATTTATCAAAGGGGATCTTTGAAACGTCTTTTTTGAGTTCTATGAGAGGAAAATCCTAGATGGCTCCTTGAATGGTACCTTTGTTTGTATTATCCTCGAGAAAGAAAAGTTAATGGGGTTAAGGATTTTAGGCTTATCAGTCTGGTTACAAGTGTGTATAAGATCTTGGTTAAGGTTTTGGCTGATATGCTCAAGAAAGTTCTCCCCAAGACGATTTTTGATTTCCAAGGTGCCTTTATTGCTAGAAGTCAAATCCTAGACCATGCCTTCATAGCCAATTAGGTGATTGAGGACTATAGATCTCGCAAGTCGAAAGAGGTGATTTTGAGAAGACTTACGATCACTAGATTGAGATTTTCTGGATAAAGTGCTTTGGAAGAAAGATTTTGGTTATAAGTGGAGTTCTTGGATGTGGAAGTGTATCTGGACCGTCAAATTCTCCATTCTTATTCATGGGAAGCCAAGAGGAAGAATGCTTGCTTCGAGAGGGCTACGACAAGGAGATCTCTCTCTTTTTCTATTTCTATTGGTTGTGGATGTCCTGAGCAGGAGGGGGTTGAGGGTGGAATTCTAGAGGGTTTTCGGATGGGGAGGGATAGATTGACTTTGTCTCACCTTCAGTTTGTCGATGACATGATCTTTTTCAGCTCTGGTAAGGGAGAGTCTTTTGTTAATCTCAACCGCCTCTTGTCTTTCTTCGAGTTGATTTCGGGTTTGAAGATTAATAGTAGTAAATGGTTTGACTTAGGCATTAACTACGAATCTACGATCCCTCTAACGTGGCAAGTGGGCGACTTTGGTAGGTTGTGAGGGAGGGTCCCTCTCCGCTTCTTTGCTAGGTCTTCCCCTAGGGCACAGGAATAGATCTTTGTCGTTCTGGGCTCCTGTTGTGGAAAAGGTGTAGAAGTGCCTTTCTTCATGGAAAAAGTGTTTCTTTTCCAAGGAGGAAGATTAACCTTCATATATTTTGTTTTAAGTGGAATCCCGACCTACTTCATATCTTGTTAGGATCTTGAAAATTATGCTGGACTTTCTTTGGGAGAGGTTGATGACGCGAATGGGTCTCATCTAGTCAATTGGGTGTTGGTGTCTTAGCCTTTGGATCAAGGGGGTTTAGGCATAGGCAACTTGAGACTGCGTAAGGAAGCTTTGCTGGTCAAGTGGTTATTGCATTTCTCGTAGGAGCCAAACTCTTTGTAGTTTAGGGTCATAGTGAGTAAGTATGGTCCTCATCCCTTTAAATGGTAGATGGGGTGGGGTTCTAAAGGCACTTCTAGGAATCCGTAGTTATCTATTTCTTTTAGCTTCCCTTCTCAGTTCGTTCATTGTTTGGTTGGGATGGGAATGACACCTACTCCTGGGAGGATAGGTGGCTGAAGGATAGACCTTTTTGCTCCTCGTTTCGCTTGTATCATCTTTCTTCCATGAGGGGTTGGTAAATTGTTCAATTTTGCCTTCTCTAGGAAACACTTCTTCATTGGTTTTTGGTTCTTGTCATCCTTTGTTCGATAGGGAGGCGGTCAAATCTTGGGGCCTTATTGTTCTGGTTGAGGGACTTCATTGTTAGCTTGGGTAGGAGTTGTCTTTGGTCCCTTAATTCTTCTTAAAGGTTTTCGTGTAAATCCTTGTTCAGCTAACCCCTGGGATTGCTCAAGGTTGTCTTGAATGCACATCTCTTTCAACAAATTCTCCTCCTGCACCTTGGCTCGTATTTTTTCACAACTACTACTTAGATTTAACAAGCCTTTTCTTTAGTACAATAAATTTCGGGGTATGGGGTTTGAACCTCCGACCTCAAGGGGAGGAGTAGGTGCCAATTACTGCTAAGCTTGTTCATATTGGCTTAGGTTTAACGAGCTTCTTGTGTATAAACACAAAACCAGGCCACCCCTAAATCTAAATTGAGAAAACCAAAACAATTATGTTGCCCTGCCTCGTGCACCAGAGATATGATGCTGAAATGTCTATGGAGCACTTTATTCTTATTTATGTCTAATATTTAGCTATTTCTTATACATTTATCTGATTACCAGAGATCTGAATTTCTTTTTGCATGTCATTGGATATACTACAACTTTTATCTCTTTCAGTGAAAAACTTCAATGAGCTAGCAAGTCATTGCATTTTGCATATTCATTTCCTCATTTATTTTATATATCATTATTCAGTATGAGGAGATTTTTTTTAGCTAAAATATATTTTTTAGGCTGCTTTTTAATTAGAAATCGAGCTTTCACTGAGCAAAGTGAAAGAATATAAAGGTCACTAAAATATATTTTCTAGGTTGTTGGTTTGCATGGTGGGGCTCTTCTTGGCGTCGCATATCGAACATCCAGGAGAATTAGTCCAGTTGCTGCCACAGCCATTTCAACAATGCCTTTATCAGGATTTGGTAACAGTGGTGTTTCCTCATTTACAAGTTTTGACGATAGTTTTTCTTCCCATAAATCTTCGGCTGAAACAACAGCACCGAACTTTCAGTTGTATAGGTGAGCATAACGTTGAATTTTTAATGCATGCATAACTCATTTGGTATAATCCAAACCTTGAAGCTTTTGTTTTATTGATAAATGAATAAATCAAATTACAAGTTAGCTCATTTCTCCCGTTCGCAATTATAGTTTGAGCACTCTTGTAGAGAAGTTTTTTGTAACTTCATTGGATGAGATCTTTATTCTCCGTATATGATTTTATACAATCAATGAAATTGTTTCGTATAAAAAAAGAAGACATGCAGCCTAATAACATCCCATCAATGAAATTTTGTAATTTCATAACATCAATGAAATTTGATTCCTATAAAAAAAAAAGAAGAAACGGAAAAAAGAAAAAAAGAAAAACCAATGGTAACTTATCCAAATAACTAAAGAAATATCATTGCTAATAACAGCCCAACGGATGGTTTAACTAACTTACCAACCAATTAAGTAAAGTACGATGTATTGCCATACATCAGCTAACTAACAGAATGTTAAATTACAATAAAGAAAATGTTACTAATGGGGTTAAGAACCCATGCTGTTAACACTCCCTCTAAGTTGAAGCATATATGTTAATTAGGCCCTACTTTCTATAAAGGTAGTCTATTTGAGATCTATTTAATATATTTGTGAATACATCTCTCAATTACTCTTTAGTCCCCTAGTAGATAGCAAACCTTGTTGCATTTTCTCATGAAAAAAATGAAAATTGACTTCAATATGTATAGTTCACTCATAAAATATTGGATTAAATGCAATATTGAGGGCAACTTGATTGTCATACAACACTTGGATGGAAACTGTATGATGGAGACTCACTCAAGAAGTAAGAGAAAATCTCAATCTGTCCCATTAATTGAAAAAACACCCTATATATATAGGGATTACAACTAAGAGTAGCTAAAGTAACTAACAATAGCTAACAAACAATAGTAACTTGAAGTTACTAAACAATAAAGGGTCCTTTAAAAGAACTACAAATATAAGTTGAACTTAAAAGACTAAACAAGCTACCCAAGGCCACACGGCTACATCAATTTTCCCCTACCTAAAAAAAACTCGTCCTCGAGTTAATCAGCTAACAAAAACTCATCAGGGGAATAGAAGGGATGAATATCTGCTACATTGAAAACGGGGCTGATGTTGTAATCCAGTGGGAGGTCTATCTTATAAGCATTCTCCCCAAAACGCGCAAGTACAGCAAAAGGACCAAGCTTCCGTTTCTTCAATTTATTATAAGTTCCAACAGGGAATCGATTCTTTCGTAGGTGTATCATTACAAGATCCCCAATCTGATATTCCTTGAATCGTTTCTTCTTGTYTGCCGCTDCCTTGTACTTAGCATTTGACAGCTCCAAATGTCGACGAACTTCTTCATGGAGTTGTGTAATCCRAGTTGCCATTTCCTCYGCCTCCACACTAATATSAAAATTAACAGGTAGATTAGATAGGTCAATAGTGATCCGAGGRAGTTTAGTGTATACAACCTCAAAKGGGGACTTCCCTGTTGTWCGRTTCTTCATGTGGTTAAATGCAAATTCKGCTTGAGCAAGTGTCATATCCCACTGTTTTGGACGATCKCCGCTAAGGCATCGCAGCAAATTTCCTAASGAACGATTTGTAACCTCAGTTTGCCCATCCGTTTGTGGATGGCTAGTAGTRCTGAATTTTAGTGTASTATCAAACTTTTTCYACAAGGYTYGCCAAAAATGGCTAAGGAACTTGACATCTMGATCGGATACTATGGATTTTGGGATACCATGGAGACGTACAATCTCTCKAAAAAATAATGTAGCAATAGAAACTGCAWCGGATGTTTTTTTACAAGCTACRAAATGAGCCATTTTACTGAATCTATCCACCACCACCATAATGGAGTCAAAACCCCGTTGTGTTTTGGGAAGACCCAATATAAAGTCCATAGATAGGTCCTCCCAAATATTTTGTGGTATTGGTTGGGGAATGTATAGCCCTGTATTTTGTGAGGATCCCTTATATGTTTGACAAATATAGCATCGGTGAACAAAGTTTGCAACATCTTTTCGGAGTTGTGGCCAAAAAAAACGTGTATTAACAAGTGTGAGGGTTTAAATGGCCTGCTAACCCCCCCCCCCCCCATGGACATCTTTAATAATAGATTCACGAAGGGAAGTGTGAGGGATGCATAATGTATTCCCTTTAAACAAGTAACCATTAACGATGTGGTAGTCCTCTGTAGGTAAGTGGCTTGTACAGTGATGCCAAATGTCTTTAAAGTCCGAATCGGTTGCATAAATGTTTGGTAGATGATCAAAGGCCACGATTTCTCCTTTAAGTAACGCAAGGAGGTTATGCTTTCTACTTAAAGCATCGGCAACCTTATTACTTTCTCCCGAAGTGTGTTTAATGACAAAGTCAAATCTTTGTAAAAAATGATAACCAACGGGCATGCATACGGCTGATGGACTTTTGGGTATGCAAGAATTTGAGAGAGAAGTGGTCGGTAAGAAGGACAAATTCTTTCCTGAGAAGGTAATGTTCCCATTGCTTTAAGGCTCTTACTAAAGCATAAAGTTCTTGTTCATATGTACTCCATTTTTGTCTTGATGGGCTCAATTTTTCATTAAAGTATTCTATAGGGTGATTATGTTGGGCAAGGACGGCTCCTATGCCAATACCCGAAGCATCTACAGAGACTTCAAACGGGTGGTCAAAATTTGGTATGGTAAGAATGGGGCTATTGCTTAATTTTAGTTTTATGAGTTTGAAGCTCTCTGATTGTTGGTGTCCCCACACAAATGGTCCTTTTTTAAGACAGTTTGTTAATGGTGCTACTAGTGAACTAAAGTTTTGGATGAATTTTCGGTAAAAGGAAGCTAACCCTAAGAAACTTTGGACTTCTTTAATTGTTTTAGGTTCTGGCCATTCAACTATGGCTTGGGTTTTTTGAGGATCCATCTTGACTGTGTTATGTCCTATTAAGAAGCCGAGGAAGGATATTTCAGAGGCTAGAAAAATGCATTTCTTAAGGTTTATGACTAACTGATTAGAGGCTAAGACTGAAAAAACCCATTGGAGGTGTGGTATATGTTCGGACATGCCTTGGCTATATATCAGTATATCATCAAAGTAAACCACGACGAATTTGTTAATAAAAGGGAGTAATACCTGGTTCATGAGTCTCATAAAGGTGCTAGGGGCATTGGATAGGCCGAATGGCATAACAAGCCACTCAAATAGGCCTTCATTTGTCTTGAATGCTGTTTTCCACTCATCCCCCGACCGAATGCGGATTTGGTGGTATCCACTCTTAAGATCTATTTTAGAAAATATGGTGGCGCCGCTAAGTTGATCCATCAGGTCATTAATTCGAGGAATATGAAATCGGTATTTGATAGTGATTTTGTTTATAGCTCGACTATCCACACACATGCGCCATGTACCATCCTTTTTTGGTGTAAGTAGGGCAGGCACGACACAGGGACTCAATCTAGGTTGTATGTGACCTTTATCAAGTAACTCTTGGACTTGGTCATGTAGAATTTTATATTCGGATGGGTTCATCCGGTAATGAGCAAGGTTTGGTAAGGTTGCTCCGGGAAAGAACTCAATATTGTGTTGAATATCCCTTAAAGGAGGTAGGTCGGTGGGAGATTCCAGGATAGTTTTGAAGTCACCTAACAAATGTTCCACCTCAGGAGGGATGAAGTATGTTTGGTTTGTTGTGCCCAAGCTTTTAACCACCAACCCCAGAATAGGCATATCCTTATGTAGGAGGAGTTGTTTGGCAGAAGACAGAGTAAACAAAGTGCCTGGTGCATACCTTCTTTAGAAGGCTGCTGAGATAAAGGAGGGATAGGAAGTAAAGCGACCTTTTTTCTCATCCAAAGGAATTCATAGGTATTACTGCGACCGTTATGGATCGTTTGGGTATCATATTGCCATGGTCGGCCCTACAGGATGTGGCAAACATCCATATCCAACACATCACATATAATTTGATCCTTGTAACTTGTCCCAATAGACAAGGGTACCGTACAAGTATGTGTTACCTGAACTTCCCCCCTTTTTGATCAAAGAAACTTTGTAAGGATTCGGGTGAGGTGTTAGTGGCAACTGTAGGGCTATAACAAGTTTACTGGCCACAATATTTTCGGTACTCCCACTATCAATGATGATATTACAAACTTCACCTTGAATGGTGCATCGGGATTTGAATAAACATGCCGTTGGTGGGCAGGTTCAACCTTTGGGGTGATTAAAAGGCGTTGGATGACACAATTAATCGGATCACCTTCATCAGGACCGATGTAGCTCACTTCATCGTCTTGGAGATCCTCCTCACTACACTCCAATTGGTCATCCTCTTCGACAAACGCAATCACCTTTCTTTGGGGGCATTCATTTGATAGATGTCCCACCTGCCCACAGCGAAAGCACTTGCCCAAAGTAGGGCGATTATAGGTGTTAGTTATCTTTTTTCCCATATTTGTGTCATTACCTTTATCTTCTGTAGGAGTGTCCTTCGCAATTTGCTTGCCTTTTAGAGGAACTGTCAGCTGGTTGTATAGAAGATTTATCCAAGGCAGATGCATTCCTTTTGGAGGTCCCACCTTGATCCCACACTGTCCGACAAGCATACGTCTTCTTGTACCTATTGTTTATATTTTCCTCAATTGTTGTGGCCGTAGATATAGCTTCGTTGAGGTAACCAATAGGATGAACAGAAATCTGTTCTTTGATGTTAGCTCGCAACCCTCCAATAAATCGGGCCACTAAATATTGCTGGCTTTCCAAAAGATTGGTTCTTGCACCTAACCGATGGAATTCTTCGGTGTAATCAGCAATTGAACGGGTTCCTTGACGGCAATTTTGATATTGATTATAAAGAATCTGTTCAAAATTGATGGGAAGGAATCGTTCGCGCATTAACTTCTTCATTCGCTCCCAACTTTGAATAGGGCGCCGACCATACCTTTGGCGATTAAGCTCTAATTGATCCCACCACGCAGAGGCGCCTCCTTTAAGTTTGAGAGCAACAAGACGTACCTTTTTATCCTCTGGTGTATTAAGGTAAGAGAAGAAGTTTTCGATATTGTTGGATCCATTCCAAGAATCCCTCGATCTCCATTTTTCCGCTGAATGTAGGTAAATCCACTTTCATTTTGAAATCTGGTGTGTCTTGTTGTCTAAACGGCCTTCTTTGAAAACCCCGCTGATTAGTTTCCACTGCTATAAAATCATCTTCCTCATCGCTGGAAAAATCCAGAAAAGGGTCTTGGCCACCCCGAAACAGGGGATTATGATTAACATCTTGCTGTTGGGGAGGATCTTGATGTAATCTTGGACCCCCATTTACCTCATAACCTCTTTCTTGATGACATCTTCGAGGTGGGACGGGTCTTTCTTGAATTTGGATCCCTTGCCGATCCTCAATCCGAACATCTTGACTGGTTCTTGGATGCGGGAGTTGATCATTCCTTACCGTTTCTTGGTTTATATTCAATGTTTCCAGCTGCTGATGAATCAAACCCAAAATCTGTTTAATCTCACCTACATCGCTCCGTAAATCTTTAACTTCAGTTTCGACCAACTGCAAGCGTGTGGCCATCGTTCGTGGTGAGAGAACGGACGAATGTTCAGTTTCTTTGCTGGTTATGGAAGAGAATTCTCCCGCTGTAGGTTTCTTTCCGGCCATCAGATTGCCCATAAATTTTCTGCTCTGATACCAATTTGATGGAGACTCACTCAAGAAGTAAGAGAAAATCTCAATCTGTCCCATTAATTGAAACAACACCCTATATATATAGGGATTACAACTAACAGTAACTAAAGTAACTAACAATAGCTAACAAACAATAGTAACTTGAAGTTACTAAACAGTAAAAGGGTCCTTTAAAAGAACTACAAATATAAGTTGAACTTAAAAGACTTAAACAAGCTACCCAAGGCCACACGGCTACATCACTGTAACAATTAAACGTAAGCCAGATAAGAGTTGTATCAACCTTACTTGACAAGCAGACTGTAGGAGTGATCTGCATTCTGATTCAACACGGTGAGAGACCCTCCAACCCCAGGCCCTTAGGCTGTTTTTGTTGCCTTCTTTCTTGATATATATATATATATATATATATATTCTGTTTCATATAAAAAATAAAAATAAAAACAATCTTCCTCAGACATTGTCCAATTAGCACATGGAAAGTACTCAATTTTAGTATAATCATGGTCTTTATATAAGTTCCATGTATAATCATGGTCTTTTTTCAGTTTTCTGCATTTCTTTTCACTCTTTTGAGAGTTTTTATCATTGTATCAATGAATAGTTAGTATCTTGTTAAAAAAAAAAAATTTGCAAATTTTACTAGTGTATAAGTGGTTTTTTTGAGAAATTATATTCAGACAAGATTTAGTAAAACTGTGTTTGGTCACTATATTTATATATTCTTCTGAAAGTTATTAATTAGCTTATTCTCACGGATGATTTATCCATGGCTTTGTAAGTGGTGATTTTAGACCTTTACAAGTCACCAGTACATAACTCAAAAAAATGAATTTGAAAACAAAAATAGAAAACTAAACTGAAAACAACCTCCCATTCAACCAAGCTTGTCCTACCAATTTTTGCTTTCATATTCACTCCTGATGGCAGTTATCATGCGGATTGGAACTTTTCATCCTATTAATGAGCAGTTTTTATTTATTTATCTTTTGGATATTGGTAGTTGGTGTTTACATTAGCCCCCTTTTCCCATGAGTTTTATTTTCCTTTTTATTCACTTGTGATGGTGTATATCATGCAGCTGGGAAACCTTTCAGCCTGTTGGTGGTCTTCTACCTCAGCCAGAATGGACCGCATGGGACCAAACTGTTGAGTATTGTGCCTTTGCATACCAGCATTATATTGTCATATCTTCTCTGCGTCCTCAGTATAGATACTTGGGAGATGTAGCAATTCCATATGCTACTGGAGGTGTCTGGCATCGCAGACAACTGTTTGTGGCTACTCCAACTACCATAGAGTAAGTTATATTCTTGTATGTGTAACTTTTGTTCGATTCCTGGTTTAACAACATTCATTATATTCCTCATGAATTCGGCCTTCTTCTCAATAACTTGAAAGAGTTGAATTATCAATTCCCTTGAGTGGTCAACCTTGTAATGGGTTTTTCACTCATTAAGCAACGGCATGTCACTCACACCAGCCTAGGTGCATGGCATCCACTATTCCAAAACAATAAATCTTTTCTAGTTGAGTTTGGACCTACCTATTCACAACATGAGCTATTAAAAGATAATATATAGATAGAAAATATGCTGCCTTTTCTTTTCCTGGTTTCGGCATAACTTTCAGCATGTTCGTTTGGTTTGCTTTTGTTATTATTGTTTTTGCCTTTGGTCAAGAGAGATGATCATTCAAAATGGTTCGCTGAAGCTCTACTCATCTTAACATGCTTCCTATTTCCTTCCACACTTTATGAGTTCTACCTTCACTTTCGTCCCTTTTCTTGTTGGACTTCTAGTTAGAAATATCCTTGTATCTGGAAGATAAGGTGCCTTGATTTGATATAAAATAACAGCTCAAAAGTATAACTACATCTGATTTTCTGTTTGGAATTTGAGCTCTCTTTCTATGATGCAACTTCCTTCTACGTGTGACAAATATGAATTTTTTGTGCATATGTATGAAACATGTACAACATGCTTGAGATGAAATATAACAAATACGAGAAAAGTAACATAACAATTCATATTATCAAGCCATATAAGGAAACTAATTAGATCCAAAGATTTCATGAAATAATCACTTCAAGCACATGGAGTGGGTGGTAAGGCAATCTTCAAAGTTTCGGTTGTAGAGATTGACCAACTATTTCTTAGAGGCTTTGTTTATGTGGATCTATTTTGAAGGGGACACTTGAGCCTGACCTCAATAAACTGTAAACTTCTTTGAACTAATTTGAACTATTGTTTCTCTTAACTTCTTGTAGTGTAAAAAAAAAAAAAAAACTAAATGCTCTATTCTATCTTTTTTATTGTTTTTTTTTCCCTATTTTTAGTTTTTTTATGAGAAACAGGATATTTTATTGATGAGATGAAATATACAGAAGAAATATGAAAACCTCAAGAGGAGGGGGCCCTCCAACCTTCAAAAGGTCATTTATTCTATAACAGGAGAAAAATGCAAAGCATTTGCACCAGCTAAGGGCCATAACAAAACTCCATCCAAAAAATCAATTATTAGGCTGGAAGATGCCATTGAAAATCCTATTATTTCTTTCCTTCCAAATATTCTAGAGAAAGGCCTTGGTGAAGTAATTCCAAAGTACCTTTGTTATGTATTTCAAAGGGTGCCTCACCAGCAAATCTTGTATCATACAGCTGATGGAATTGTGCATGGCGCCAACCAAAGGAGGATTATATGAAGCAACAAAATGTATTAGAAAATTCACACGCGATAAAGAGATGCCCCTGTGTTTCTCTGCCCTTCTCCACATGATACAACATCTTGGACGGATAGAGAAATTAGGAAGCCTTTTCTGGATAACATCATGGGTATTTACAGCTTTGTGACTAAGCTCCCAGCAGAAAATTTTAATTTGCCTTGGAAATTTATCCCTCCAAATATTGTCATATAGAGATGAGTCATGAAGATTGGACCCTTCCAAATTTCCTTAAACGTGGAGCTAACAACTGTCTTTTTGGATCATTAGACCAAATCCATTTGTCTATCGAGGAGGCAATGGAAATATAACATAATAATTGACCAGGAGTGGTCCATTCAGATGTTTCCTCCTCTTTGAATGCTCTTCGAAAAGAATAATCCCATGAGCTTGTTGTATTAAACCATGCTTGACAGACCTATAGGTTTTTGTTTGTGGCCGAGGCAAAGATGTTGGGAAAGGCCTTTGCTAGGGGAGAGTCCAGGCCCACAAATCATTCTAGAAGCTAATTTTGTCTCCCCTGCCAATCTTATTACGAGCTCTCCCCTTAACAAAGTAAGTTTGTTTCTGGATGGGACTCCATGGACCTTTAAAATTATGAGCTGTAATCACTGGCTAACAATCCTGCCTAGAATCTCCATATTAAGCCATGATAACTTTCTTCCAAAGGGGCTTACTGATTACCCTTGATTTCAAGGGTAAAAAAGGGGTCAAATCATGTTAGTTTCAACTTTTTTCAAGTAAAAAGTGTACTCAAAGGAGGTATTTTGTGTCCAATTCATGCATAATCATCTAAGCGTAGTCTACACATGTACATATTTGCTTTTGGCAGCAATTAGAGTTGAAAATATGACGAATTGCATGTTCAAGTAAAAAGTGTATTCAACAACATTCCCCTTGACTGCATTTTGAGCTTGATTTTTAAGATATTTTGAGGAGTCACTTGGGTCCTTTGAGTTTTAAGTTGTTCGGAAAGGTGGAATGTTCTCTCTTACACCTTTCGCAGTTTTCGAAGCTTTGCTGTTTTAGTTGGGTTGGTTGGTTGGTGAGGATCTCTAAGTTTCTTTTTTTCAGCTTGAGGGTTGGCATATGGTGGTTTATTATTTGAGGATAGCATCGTGGCTTAGTTTTTGGTGTTTGCTCCTTGATAGCCTTTGTGGAAATGGTCTTTTCTTGCTGCATTTTGAGCATTTCGGCTGGTTTTTATTGGAGCTTGGTCTTCGCTTATGGATCTAAGGAAGTTTTTATCTCTCATGCGATTGTGGCTCTGAATTTCTTTTGATTTTCCGAGGTCTGCAGCAAGCAGTTTTCTGTGTTCTGGTTTAGAGTTCTTCACATCTTTTATGAGCCTGTATTGCTCTTGTTATGTTAATTCTTTGTTATTTTTGTATTCTCTCTTCTTTTTTCACCCCTTTGGTGGGGGGTTTGTATCTTGGACATTTTTCCTTTTCATATATCAATGAAAAGTGAAAAGTTGTCTCTTGTTCAAAAAAAAAAAAAAAAAAAAATTCCCCTTGACTTATCCTCCACAATATATTTGTATATCTAGTTTGATAAAAGGGCGTCATTCCTTCTCTTGAAGTTGCCAATTCGGCAATTCCTAGACCTCCTTTATAAAGAACAAAAGCTGGATTTTTTGCCAATTTACAAGATGCATTTTTCTACCCGAATTGGGACTTTTCGAGGAAAATTTTCGATCACCTTTCTGAAAGCTTTGCTGCTCCAGCTGTTAAATTGAAAAGAGAGAGATAGTAAGTAGGGAGATTTGAATTTGGATCTATACTTCCTGTTTAATGAGAGCCCAAATAAGTGGAAGGCCAAAAGTGTTGGCAGCCGAGGCAATATCATCTTCCTCCAAATGCTCTATTCTATCTTTCCTTCAACTTTTCCTTTTAAACGAGTACTGTAAACTTATAGATGAGTTTGTTTCTCTTTTCCAGTTTCCACGCTCTATGAGTCAACTTTGTCATTTAATGTAATTCACATTCTTTAATATTTTTGAATTTTTAAGTTTTACATACTATGTCATTATGAATCTATGATTGAAATATGAAATTTAAATTTAAAGAAGATACTACTAGAGCTTATCTTTGTTCTGCTGCATGTTATAGATGTGTTTTTGTGGATGCTGGAGTTGCACCTATCGACATTGAAACAAAAAGGATGAAAGAAGAGATGAAGTTGAAAGACGCACAAGCTAAAGCCATTGCTGAGCATGGGGAGTTAGCTCTTATTACTGTAGATGGTCCACAAACTGTTACGCAAGAAAGGATAACCCTGAGGCCTCCAATGCTTCAGGTCGAATCTTATTCCCTTTCTTTATATGTAGATCCATGGCTACAGTATTAGAAATGTTTTAATGTTTTTAATTTTGGGTTCACATAATGTGAAGCTTGATTTGATCATGCATATCCTTGACTAATATGGAAAGACCTCTCATACTAAATTTAGATTACTTGCAGGTTATGATAAGGAAAGCCTCTACCAACGTGAAATTTAACAATTTAAAATGTATAATAGTGATAATGATTAAAATCTCTTCACAACTATAGATAATAGTGATGACATTTGGTTCATTTGGAAACTGGTTTCTAAGATTATTGGGAACAGGAAAAGTATTGTTAGTATTTGAAAACCTTTTGCTGTATCTGGATTTTTTCTTTCTTTCTCCAGAACATAGAAGTTTTATGAGTGCCTCTGGTTCTTTAAAATAGGTATATACATTTAAACAGAGGTTGAATAGAAGTTTTATGAGTGCCTCCCACAACCTTGTTTCTGTTGGACCTTCATGAAATTTGGGTTCTAGTTTAATTTTTCTCATCGATCTGTTTTATAAGGTTCCTTTCAACACTTTTATTATTATTATTATTATTATTATTTTAATATTTAATTTTCCCGACTAACCCAACAGGTGTTAAGAAAAAATTTCAAAAAAAAAAAAAGAAAGAAAGAAATATCACGTTACTTCTTTTCAAAGAGAAATCGAGCTTTCACTGAGCAAATTGAAAGACATAAAATGCATAAGAAAAATCATATTAAAAATTGAGCATCGGACAGATGTTGAATGCATGCATACCCATGTTGGATATATGTCCAATACCTACCCTTTGCTCAAAATGGTGCTTCTACGACCTAATTTTTTGTGTATAGTATATGGTTCTTGATTCATATGTATAATGCTAGTTTCTTTCTTTCTTATTTTTTAATATCAATTTTTATCTTAGAATTTCAGGTGGTGCGATTAGCATCATTTCAGCAAGCTCCTTCTGTGCCACCATTTTTATCATTGCCGAAACAATCAAAATCTGATGCTGATGATTCAATGATGCCGAAAGATTTTGAAGAAAGAAAAGCTAATGAGATAGCAGTTGGTGGTGGTGGAGTGTCAGTGGCAGTTACTCGTTTTCCAGCTGAGCAGAAACGTCCTGTAGGACCTTTAGTTGTGGTTGGTGTTAGAGATGGTGTTCTCTGGTTAATTGACAGGTAATTGGGTCTTCTAATATTTAGGAATTTAGAGGATATAACTACCTTCCTAGTTTTCAGCTCAAATTGTGAGCTGTATCTCTGTCTGTTCACATATTTTCCTTCTGTTACATCATATACCAAAATTGGTGAAAGTTCAGTAGATTTTCAAATTTCATTCAACCATGTGTCTGTTACATCATGTGTTTGTGAAGTATTTAAAAAATTACGCTAGCTTTCTCAATGTTGATCTTATAGGAGCATAGAGTTTATGACGTCACTCATCAATCCGTGTCTCATTTTTAATATCATCTCTTATGCCCCCTAAAGGGTGCTTGAATTTGAGTCAAAATAAAAGTCCAAAATATAAAGATGAAAATCCTGACTTTTGCTGCTTGAATTTCTTGTCAGATACATGAGTGCACATGCTTTATCCTTAAATCATCCTGGTATTCGTTGCCGGTGTCTTGCTGCCTATGGTGATGCAGTCAGTGCTGTCAAATGGTATCAGCTATTTTCTCATTCTTTTACATATAGTACTGACTGGAATTGTTTCAAGTTCTAAATATTTCTTCTTCCTGCAGGGCAAGTAGGCTTGGCAGAGAACACCATGATGATCTAGCCCAATTTATGCTTGGTATGGGCTATGCTACTGAAGCTTTACATCTGCCTGGAATATCCAAGAGGTAAAAAATACTTGCAGCACAGTTTCCACCTTACTGTAAAAATGATATACCTATCGTTGTTGTCCCATCAATTGCCGGTCAAAAAGCATGCATATGTGTGCACCCATTGTTTGTGGTTTGTTGCCATTTATTTTATACATAGTTCCTCAATGTTACTCTTTCAGTAGTAGCTTGGAGTTTGTCCCTTTGTACGAGGTCAATATGTCAAAATCATCAATTGTATAACAATCCGATTATTGTAATCCTACTTTTAATTGTAATCCATCTCTCCTTAAAATTTTCAGATTGGAATTTGATCTGGCTATGCAAGGCAATGATTTGAAAAGAGCACTCCAGTGTCTTCTTACTATGAGCAACAGCAGGGACATGGGGCAAGATAATGCAGGGCTTGATTTGAACAACATTCTCAGCTTATCAATTAAAAAGGAAGATACGGTGGAAACAGCTCAAGGAATTGTGAAATTTGCAAAAGAGTTTTTAGATTTGATTGATGCTGCAGATGCTACAGGACAGGCTGATATTGCTCGTGAGGCGCTTAAAAGATTAGCTGCTACAGGTTCTTTGAAAGGTGCATTACAGGGTCATGAGTTAAGAGGATTGGCTCTGCGGTTAGCAAATCATGGCGAGTTGACACGATTGAGTGTAAGTTCTTGCAAAATATTTTTTCTAGCCTGAGTTCATTTATCTTTAAAGCTTGCTAATTGTCTTCTTATACAAAATATCCTGTGGTGATACAATGTGCTTTCACTAGGCTATTTTACATCTGATCCTAATTCTTTCCCCATACTGTCTCGTATTGCTTCAGACAGTAAGAAATCATATTGAATTTCATGCTGAATTTTCAAGGTGTCACTTTAGCTTGGTTTTTTTTTACCTTAGGTCTTCTGAGCATATAAACTAGCGAAAAATGAGAATTTGGATGATTCATGCCGGCAGTGGGTGCGTTGTTTCTTAAGATAATTAGTCTTTAGTGCTCTGTTTATGATAAATGACAATGTGAATGCTGCAGGGTTTGGTAAACAATTTGATCTCGGTCGGCTCGGGACGTGAAGCAGCATTTGCAGCTGCAGTTTTAGGAGACAATGCTCTCATGGAAAAAGCATGGCAAGATACAGGAATGCTTGCGGAAGCTGTGCTTCATGCTCAGGTATGTCATCTTCATTTGTGCTGTTTATGTTACTCCCGTTATTAACTTAAATGCAATTTCCAGGCTCATGGTCGACCAACATTGAAAAACTTGGTCGAGTCATGGAACAAGATGCTACAGAAGGAGATGGAGCACACTTCGTCTGAAAAGACCGACGCCACAGCTGCTTTTTTTGCATCTCTCGAGGAACCGAAACTCACAAGCTTGGCAGATGCAGGCAAGAAGCCTCCAATTGAAATCCTTCCTCCTGGAATGCCATCTCTATCAGCTTCCATTTTAGCTCCAAAGAAGCCAACTCCTGGAGCACAAGGTACACTGCAGCAACCAGTCAAGCAATTACTACTGGAGGCACCGCCTGCTAATCCACAACCATCCGAAGGTACACCGGACCAATCAGAACCAAGCGAACAGATTTCGAACGATAAAGCCCCGACTTCGATGACAGCTACTGACCCATTTCCAACTACTCCAGCAGAAGATGTTCCAATATCAGGTGTTGCGGAGCCATCTGATAGTCAATCAGCATCCTCTAGCACGATGCCAGTAGAGACTCAAACACCATCGTCTGTAAATAACACAGCACCACCATCAGACGCCCTGTTAGAGGTGCCCGAGGTTCAGAATTCCTCTATTCCAAATTCATCATCCACAAAGGATGGAGCACCAACACCATCAGAGGCCCCATCCGAGGAGGTATCACAAATTTGAAATCCAGCCACCTGAAATTGTTTGCAACTTACAAGGATGGAGACACCCTGCCCCCGACACTTGCATCGGTGTTCATCGGATATAGTTGAGTATAGTAGGTGAGGTTGATTTTGTTCCCAGCTGATTGTAATGTAATCTTCATGTGTTTAATTGTGTTATAAAAAAGTTGCATATATTCTTTTGTTCATCATTACATTAAATTTAGAACAATCATTCCATTATATATGCGGTTCCATCTGTAAAATTTTTCTGGTGTGCTTCATTGTTATTTTGTAATTTGATGTTAGCTCAAGTTTAGTATTGGTCTCGGGATTTGACATTCGTTTTCCATTATACTAATTTTAGTAATTTTCAAATTAAACGCAACTGTTACTTTTATTATTATTATTTTCTCTCTCCTTTGGTTGCTATGGTGTAAGATGTTAAGTTTTATCTGGTTGTAAAATAAATCTTAGAGCCTTAGGTCGAATTCTAAAAGAAAGGCTAGCAAAATATCTTGCACGATCTATAAAACCGAGGAGCTTGTATCTGTGAGTCTGAGTTGCCTGTTTGAATTATACCGTTAAAAATTCGGTTTGTTACAGATAACAGAAGTCCGAATAGAAGAATTCAAGAATTTTGGCATATGAGAATGCTAGCTTGCACGTGCTTTGGGTTGAATTTTATAAACCTAGTTTTGGAGTAGACCATTTAGGGTCGAAATCAAGTGCTATATAGATCTTGAAGAGATAAGATTTAAAGAAGATGGCAGATAGGACAGGACTCTGTAACGCTGATATGTCTGCTACTAAAAAAAACAACTTGCTTAAGAAGATGATTATGTCACCCGGCTTCTAACTGGTGAGGATCGAGGATTCTATATATCATCGTACAGGCATTACTGGCTTCCTTTAGATAAAATCGCTCAATCTAGAGACTTACTCACGGCCTCCTGTCTAAACTGTCCAAGGAACTCTATCTATCGTAACTCATGATTTCTCTAATCCTGGGATATCTAATCTCATGCATGAGTAGTTGTCCTAGCACATCTTCTGACATCAGGACGGTTAACTCCTTCAATGGATCTTTCAAAAGATCTGAATCAATGCGATCGTCAGTGGACTTCACTCCTCCAGTCCCGAACGTTCATTATGAAGAAGGATCACTCTCTCGGAAGAGTGGATTCTATATCTCAAAGGCAGCTCTGGTTTACGATAGATAGAGTTCCTTGGGCAATTTAGGCAGTAGGTCGTGAGTAAGTCCCTAGATGGAGCGGTTTTATCTAAAGGAAGCCAGTAATGCCTATACGATGATATACATAATCCTCGATCCCTGCTAGTTAGAAGAAGTCGGGTGATGTCATCATCATCTTCTTAAGCAACTTTTTTTTTTTTTTTGTTTAGTAGCAGACATATCAGCTTTACTTTCCACCTTTATTTTTGTAATTACTTTATTTATCTTCCGCATAATTGCTACATAAGCAATTATCGACTCTTGCTTTATATATAGCATTTGGTTTCGACCATAAATGGTACCAACGATGGTCTATCTATTTTATGCATGGTTGAATCGGAGTCAATTGATCGATTGGTCAAAGTACCTAGAAGGATGCCTTCCAATTGGGAGGGTTATTATGTAAAAAAAAAAAAAAAATTAAAACTAAAGAGTTAAAACTTGTAATTAGATGGGGCAGTTGTCTATTAGTGAATGATTAATTTTTAGTTTCAGCTTATTTCCAACACCGACACCAACCAACCAACCAACCGATGTTCAGCCCTAGTTACTTAGATGTTCTATCAGCAGATTTTTGGTCATATCCAGTTAGGTTTCTTAAACCTAATTGAGTTTTTCTTAGTTTTAAATAATAATCGGTAAAACTAATAAAAAAATCTAAATTATTACTAATTAAAGATCAAATTAAATAACTAACATTATTAAATGTCTAAATAAAAAAATCAACATTATTTAATATTCTTTCCTCTAAATAAGTTTGTCACACAAAATAATAAGCGAGTATAGGCTTAATGGACATACAAATGGACATACAAATTTGTGCGTTCCAATCGTGTCTAATTTATTGGGTGTGTTTGGGAGTAATGGTAGAATTAATGATTAAAAAAAAAAGATTGAAGCATAATTGATTTTCTAAAGTCACCATTTAAGTGATACCTTAAAAATCATTTTAAAGTGATTTCAAAGTGTATTTAGGAGTGATGATAGAATAGAGTGATTTTTGAAAAAGAGATTTAGTATAATTGATTCCCAAAAACATCATCCAAGTCATATTTTAAAAATCAATTTGGAGTGATTTTAAAATTTCCTAAAATCAAATTTTCAATTTACCAAACATGAACAATGAGAAGAAGAGTGATTTTGACGATGACAAAAGTTCTCAAATATACTCTTAAACTTTCCTAAAATCACTTTTTTAATTTATCAAACATGATTAATAGAAAGAGAACTGATTTTGACAATGACAAAAGTGATTTTGGCCATGCAAAAATCATCCAAAAACACACCCTTGATACAACTTTGGAAAAAATATACTTTTGGTTAAAGTTTGAAGCTAAGGTCTATTTGGTTCTTAAGGTTCTGAAAGAGACTTTTAATTTTTGAAGTTTGGAAAATACTTCAAGTGGGACCGAAGATTGAATTGGTACCAACGAACCAGGAACTATGGAATTGATTATTTGAATAGGGTGTTCGACCTCATTTAGTTTTCGAAGGAGAGAGAGAGAGCTCTAGATTTAGAACCCCTCCCCTCCTCCAAGCGCATATTTGGAGCGACGATAGCTCTGGAGTGTTTGCAGACACCCTCTCTCCTTGTTCTAGATCTGGAATGAGGGTGAAGTCCCTCCTCTCCATGGTTAGCGACGACGAAAATGACTACCAATTGTGAGTTTCACAGGAGAATACAGTCACCAATTTTACCCGACACATCAGTTAGTTAACTAACAGTCAAATAAGGTAAGAGACCATTTGAAACTAGTTTCCAAACTTTAAGGACATTAACTTCAAATCTCAATGACTAAAAGTGTATTTTTCTCTATAACTTTTTGGTTAATTGATTCTTTATCATTAACCTAACATATATACACTTTTTTAATACAACAAATGTGTAGATGAGAGATTGAACCTCCATCCTCTAAAACGGAGCAAGATGCCTTAATCGCTCTAGAAGTAGTCAAATGAGTTATAAACCAATTAGCTCATTGGTAATAAACTCAATCTATAGATAGAAAGCTCATTGCCACGTGGCAAAATGTGGCAATTTGTCAATATAGTAATGACAAAGATAGTTTGTGATGTTTGACAAAACTATAGAAACAATAGTGGCAATGAGCTAATAAAGAATGTAAATTTGGGCATACTCATTCCTTACCTAATAAAGGTAAGAATGTAAATCGCACAGGGAAGAGACATTGGAATCAAAATAGTGGCAAAATTCAGTGCCAATTACATGGCAGATTTGGGCATACAACATTGCGCCGTTATTTTCGCTTTGAGAGATGGTATCAAAGACCGAATGTTGCAACACAATATCAGTAGAATTATTCATCTCCTACCTTAATTCCCACTGGAGGTTTTCATCCTGCAATACCATAACAACAGTTGAATAACTCCAATGCAAGCCCTCATGGTCCAACCTGAACGTTGAATAGAGAGCATGAGATGGTACCCCAACTCAGGCGCTTCTAACCATGTTAACAATGATTTTGGTAATTTGTCAATCAGTAGCGATTATCAACGTGACCACAGAGTAATGGTTGGAAATGATGTAGGTTTGGAAGTATTACATAATGATTCTACCTATCTTCTTCTAATTCCTCAAATCAGCATTCTTTCCTACTAAATAATCTACTTCATGTACCTAAAATCACGAAAAACTTGATAAGTGTCAGTCAATTTGTAAAAGATAATCACGTTTTCTTTGAATTTCACCCACTTTCTAGCTTTGTGAATGATCCAGCTACTGGCAAAATTATGCTCGAAGGGAAAATGCATAATGGACTATACAAGTTTACCTTAGAGAAGGATCATCCCAACACAATCTCATCCTTGAATCGCACATCTCTCAACAGTGTAATACCATCTCCCAATAGTGAAGTTCTTACATATTATATTGCTTATGGTTCTTTGTTTTCTACTAATTCTTTTATTGATTCTCATTTATCCTGTACTTTTGAACTTTGGCCTCGTCATCTTGGTCATGCTCCCTTACATGTTATGCAATCTGCACTCAAATCATGTGATATTTCTGGTTTGAATAAAAATAAAATTTATCTTTGTCATGCTTGTGCTATCAGTAAAAGTCATAATCTTCCCTCTTCTTCTTCTAAAACACAATATCATGCTCCCCTTGAGTTAGTTGCTGTTGATTTGTGGGAACCCTCGTTTAAAACATCTCGTAATAGCTTCAAATACTATCTTAATTTTGTTGATGTATATTCTCGCTACACTTAGATTTATTTTCTCCATTCTAAATCTGAGGCTTTTAATGCTTTTCTTCTCTTCAAAACAACAAGTTGAAAAACTATTAAATTGGAACATTGTTCCATTCATCGTCTGGTGGCTGTGAATTCTCTCATTTTATTCCCTTTCTTAAAACCCATGGGATAGAACATCGTATTTCATGTCTTTATACATCTTAACAAAACTGCATTGTAGAGTGTAAAATAGGCATATTGTTGATATGAGGCTTACTTTGCTTTCTCAAGGCTCTTTACCTTTAGATTTTTGGGATGATGTTTTCTCCACGACTGTCTTTTTAATCAATCGATTACCTACTGCTGTCCTACATGATATTTTTCCCTTGGAGAAGCTTTTTTTGTCAAAAACCCGATTACTATTTTCTCAAGACTTTTGGGTGTTTAAGCTACCCTTCCTTGCGCCCTTATAACCATCATAAAATTGAATATAGCTCAACTCACAAAGGCTATAAATTTCTTGCACCTTCGAGTTGTCTCTATATGTCTTAACATGTTATTTTCAATGAAATTTGCTTTCCTTTGTCATCACATTTATCCTCCGTTTCATCTACATCTACAACTCTAAGTACCTCTCCTTTTACTTTCATACCCAATATTATTTCTTTGCCTAACCATTTATCTCCTTCTAGTCTCATATCCACACCAACTACAAACCAGTATGCTACTTCTTCTTCTGTAACCATGTACAACAACTTTGGACCTTCTATACAAGAGGACCAAATTTCCTCTTCGAATGATTCCCCTATCCACACCTCTGCTTCACCATCTGTAGCAGTAGTACCTGCTGCGCTTGGTTTAGTACATATGTTTTGCTCCTATAGTTGAAGCATCAAGGCCTCCATCAGTGCCTGCTTTGAATTTTCA